ATGTTGATATTGGTTCTGGACCTAATCGATGAATATTAAGAGATTCATCATCATTTTTATTATCATCATTGATTTGTTGTTGACGACGAGATTTTTTCAATTTTTTTTCTAAACGATTTGGTGATATCGATGTTGTTGATTTACGTTTTTTTATTTTAGTCATAATAATCGATGATAGCACAAAAAAAAAGAATCTAAATAATTTATTGATAAGATCAATTTGAATATATATTTCTATTTTTCTTAGAAAGCAAATAAATAAATAACAACGTATCAATTATTATATTATTTATAGGCCTTTGAATATTCCAATCAAATCTTATTGATTAGACTTGAAACTCGATAGATGTCGCTTGTACACTAACATTTAGAGAAGAACATCAGTTTCATCTCCGATGCGATTCAATGGGTCATATTCGAATAGAAAACAAATAATCAATAAAAACTATCTCGCATCTTCATACCGATCATTAGACTCAGCCTTCCCCCTACCGACATTTAATTCGACTAACAAATTTTTAGTCGTCATCAAAATTTCAACTCTAAATATTGAGTTCACGCTTTCACATCGTATAATGAGGGACTCAGACTCTATATTGCCAGAAATTCTCAACAGCTAGCAGTTGTCAGTTGGAGTTTTCATTACAAGAATATGAAAAAAAGATTTCGTTGTGTTGTGAAAGTTTTGCCAACTACTAGAATCATGTAATTACTATTAAGAAACGTAAATATATGATATGTAGCATAAAAAGTCGAAGTTTCTAACTCATTTTATCATCTTCCTACCCGTAGTATTAGTTAAGAAAACATCAAATTTATCAATTCCTAAAACGATATCATATCTTTATTGAAGAAAGTTAAGCAAACTAAAGCCTAGATGTTATTTCAATACCAGTTGATATGAGTTACTCGATCAAAAGTTTTGAAAGAATTCTTCTTTCATTCCTATATTAATGTATATGGATTGAGTCTGATCTAGTCCAAAAACCTCTACCGGTTCCACGTATAAAGGCAATTATTAGAAATTATTTCTTTACTTTTTTCTTCAGACATATTTCACAGATAGTTGGATAATCGACAATTAAAAAAAATGCTGAAAAGTTTTGAAACAACTTCAATCATCGAATCTGCCTCAGTTATTTAGAAAATCAAACGAAAACAATGAGTTGTATACGGATTTTATTTACATACTTTATTTCTTTTTCTCTTATTAGTAAAGGGTGTTGCAAAAGTTCCCGGAAAATATCGCTTAATTTCTCATCGGCCACACCATAACACGTTTTGACAAAATAAAAAATATCTATTCAGAATCTACATTGAAAGCGCTATCTAACTGTATGTTCAAAAAATTTCTATAATGTCTTGCCTTTGAGTAACGGTCACCGTCCTTAGATGGCACTAAAATGTACTACAGCTGTTAAAAAGAAAACAACCCACAATGACTATGGCAGAAGGAGCCGATCTTTAAGCAATGCCACAGTATTTTCTGCCGAGTTCGTAGAGAATTAAACGACAAATGTAATGGGAAAAAGAGCCACAATATATGACGGAACGCATAGGCGATATTCAAAAAATATTTAAATATCGGTTCCTTCTGCCATAATTATTGTGGGTTGCTTTTTACAGAGTATATTTTAGTGTCATTTAAAGACATGATCGTTACTCAAAGGCAAGACATAATAGACATTTTTTGAATATACAGTTAGAAACCGCTTTCAACGTAGATTCCGAAAAGATATTTTTTATTTTTATAAAACATGTTTTAGCAGACAAAAAATGAAGCGAGATTTTCCGAGAACTTTTGTACCACCCGTTATGAGTGCGTCGCGAGAGAACATTCTGACTAGGACGATATATAGTAATCTGAGTAGCTAAAAGAATTCTCTATCGAGATTAGTGAACACAAAAACTCTAATAAAACTGTTTGGATGAGACTGTTAAGCAAACCAAGACTCCCGAAACGCGTTTTCTGATATCCATTTGAAGCTTTTTTGAAATGATTTTATTTGATAGAACAAAATGAGATGTTTCAGCTCTCTTCATCGAATTGCATTCAGTTTATAGAAAATCTCGTTTTTCATAAAAGGCAATAGAAAGATCTTCTGTAAATAGAATGTAATTCAATTAAGAGAACCGAGATATCTCATTTTACTCTATCAAATAAAACCATTTCCAAAAAACTTCACATGAATACTAGACAACTGTTTTTGGGAGGTCGCTATTCAAATGTTTTTTTTCAGATCTATTATTATAGAGAAGAAAACTTAAAAATACAATTGCTCTAGACTTTTGTTTGTCACAATATGTCTCTTCACATTTGTCTTTAACTAATGGTAGTTAATATTCAATCATCAACTTAACTGTTCTATCAATATATAGTAGATGCATATGTATAGAAATGCGAAGATCAACATCCATCTATATCCTTCAATTCTTGAATTTCATCTTAAAGAATATGTAGATAGTAATCCTACTGATATGAAATTTGATATCAAATGTGAGGAATATGTAAAGAAAAAAACCCATACTATTAAGTAGTCATTTTTTTTTTGCACATTATATTCTTGTGTACTATTGCTCATATTTCTTTCAATGAAATCAATGTCAGAGGATCATTTAACCTCCTGTATACCGACGATTCTTGCATTCTGTCACTCTAAATCAGCTGTATACATGTGCCATATTTTATCATATATGGCGTATG